CGACATCACATTAGAAACCTCTAAAATTATCAGTGTTTCCCTACTATATTATGCATGTATTATACATATAAACCTTCCTCTTGAATCACTCTATCTTTTAAAAAAAACCGCATCAAAATCCATTGCGTAGTTTTAATGATTTAAGCATACATAGGGACAGACAGCGGGAAAGCGACTTTGTTTTATACTATGTAGTGATATTTTGGCAAAACTAATGCCAGAAAGTTCATATTTGATACCACACTCGAAAACCGTTAGAACCATGATTTTTTACGTACTTTTTTACATAATTATCACTCTTCGATGCTTAGTAAATACCTTCCATCTCCCAGAAATTTCATAAGTACTTTTTAACGTTTATATGAATAAAGGACTGTAGAACATTTTATGAAATTCGTCACCTTTCAAACAACATTCGTACAAAGACTTAGGTGCTTTTTTAATAAAATGTGCATGTATGAATAAACAGCCGTTTCGTTCAAAAGTTATTAAATTTTCTTCCATCGATGACTTCGTTAAACGGCAATGCTTTTCAAAGCGTTATTTAGAAACTAGGTGCTTTAAAAATAATTACCAGCTACACAGAAGATATAAATGTAATTTTCAAAATGACGCTTTGACTTTTTAAAATGCCTGAAATAGAAAAAAATATATACCTATTAAAAAGTCTCAAAAATTGTGGAAAGCACTACATTGATGAGAATTCCAATGAAATCGGTTGAACAAATCAATTGGTTTGTTATCGACAAGCGTCAAATCAAAAAAGGGTATCCCGTTATTACGAACAACCCTCTCTATCAAGTTCTTTTCCTTACGCTCATGTATGAGATCAACTCTTTATCGATTACTCAACCCTCTATTGCTTCCATTCGCTTCGGAGGGTATAATAATATGAAGCCATTCAGCAGGTGAAGAAAACTAAACTATGCGTCTGAATGAGTAATGAAGCATGCGAAATAAATCTATTGAATTTGTATTGCAAACTTTATGGGGGCTTTTTCACCGTCGGAGTCTATGGTAGAATTAAGATTTGGGCTGATGGCCTGGGTGAAGTAGATTTAGACGTTTGGTGAAACATCTTTCTGTCGAAACGTCTGAATCTACAATTTGAGAAGTGGTAAATATATTAATTCAAAAATTAATTCATAGTATCACAAAATTATTACAGATGTAATAATGTTTTCGTGCTGATCATACGAAATGGGTCAGATTGGACTACATACAACAGGGTAAAATTGCAACAAATTCTGCAGTATTTTCAGTAAATATTATACAGATTAATAGAGGCGTAATTATATACAGTCCATTTCAACTTGTTGGAATTGTGACCTTGAAGAAATCTGCGCGAAGATAGAAAGAATACACACTAGGCGTGAGCAAGACAGAAATAGTTGGAACAAGCTTGAACGAGCAGAGCTCTCGATGGGCGGTCTTAGGAGATCGGCTAGAACTGTACAGTACTAGACGAAAATGTTTAGCAATTTCTTAAAACAAAAATGTATATAAATTAACAGTAGAAAACAAAGCAAAAGTTTTATAGGTGTGTAGAACGTTAAGTTAATTCACTTTTTATTATTTTTAAATAAAGCATATTCTTAAATTTTAAAGAGGCAGTTTAAATAATTTTGCAAATGGTACTGTACACTTTTGTCTAATTGTCGCTCGATGATCGATGGAGAAATGAGCTTCGCAGACAAATATGATTGAATTTGGAATTATACTACGGCGCATCCTAATAAAGGGAAGGGGCATATACCTAACTTCCTAAAACGAACAGTACATGTTTGATAAAAATGGAACCAAACAGAACTATATAATTTAGTTTGAAAATAGGCAAACATCTATTTTACAAATATGATCGATCCATTTGGATTGCAACCAGAAAAGAAAGAAGAAAAACTACAATTCTATGTTTTAATTTGTAAGAAGGTGTATCTCTTCAAAGTAATCAGTAAAATCTCTCTACCTCTTTCAATCTTTTTGATGTTTTCTTAGAACCTATCTGTTCTTGTGATTAAAGACGTTTTTCCAACTCATTAATATTTAAGGGCTTTCTGTTATGTTGTTATTCCGAGTCTAATTCTTGTAAATCCTATAAATATTCATAAAATATTCCAATTTTAGTACAGTCAACGTAAAGCAGAGTTCTTAAAGTTAATTCTTAGGAAAAATAAAGGGTGTAAATGGAAGAAGTGACTTCCAAAGTAGTTTTCTGTTCTGTCCAGAATGATTTGCAGCATCGAAGACCGTGAAATGAAGCTCGTTGAAGTTTCAGCTTTCAGGAACAAACTGGGTGAATAAAAAACGAAGTAAAAAGCTCTTAAGGCATGGCTGTTAATAATAAAAAGTCAGTAAATATAATTTAAAAACAAACTACTCTTCGTTTGACTATTCCCTATGAGTTTTGCTGCATCTAAATTGGCAGAATGTAAAATACCATCCGCACGCAATTTTGTATTTTCCAACTTCCCATTCATTAAGGACATATTTGTATCCAAATTTATGAACAGGGATCTAATAAATAGAATGAAGGATTAAAAATGTTCATAGTAATATATTTGTAATCCTAATCCTAACTAGGTAACATTAATAATGTGAAATTGTTTGTTTGCTACGCTTTCACACTTTAACCTTTCAACCGGTCATCATGAAATTTTGTACACGCATTGTCAGGAGTTGAGGTAAGGACATAGGATACCTTTTATCCAGAAAAAGGATACCAAATTCGTAATAAATAAATAATTCAAATATATTGTAAACTAACTTCAACATTTTTCATTGCCAACAACGATACGATGTGACAACTCTTGTGATGTTGTATATTTTCGAAACATTTAATTCCAACAACAATAGATATCTAACTTTTTTTACGAACAAAGAAAAAAATAATCTACACTTACAAAAGTTCGCACAGCAAACATTTCAGTTGAAAAAGAGCTAACAAAGAGACTTTGATGGAATTTGAGTTCGAAATATAATTTTGAATATTGGCACAAATAATCTTTTCAGATGGGAAGTAAACATGAATTCGATTGAAATTTGTTTTCCTGTTGGAGACAACAAGGTATTACTGTGTTTGCGATAAAATTCGAAGACTGGCTAAATTTGCAATTATCAAAACTTTCTTGCACGTGCGACTTTCCTAATCGAATTATCTAAGTAATTGAACAATATCAATTAAAATGGAATAACATCGCGTCAATTTACAAAATATTAAACCAAAGAGAGGTCCAAACATTTAAAATTTATTGATGTATGCATTTACTTTCTTCTTTCAACTTATTTTACTCACGAAGGACGTTGTTGGGAATATCGTAAGCATAGAAAAGAGATGTCAGATAGGAATTGCAGCGGACACTAATAAAGAAAAAGGAATAACATTATACTAATTGATGTGTAACAGAAAGAGATGG